ATCCAAATTTACAGAAATTTGTAATATTAAAAAAATTGAATTATTTAACATAGAAATTTATAATTGAGTGAGTCTACAATAAACATATTTCTTAATCCACTGTCAATTTAATCCACTGTCTAAAGAATTACGGAATACAGCAATGAATTTTCAATTCTCTGTTATTTTATTCTTATTTATATAAGGAAATACGTTCTTATTTCGATGCAAACCTTACAGAGACATTCTATACGCATTTACTGGAAATATTTTTTACGACGCATCTATGACACTACGAGAAGAAGTTTCTTTTCGTTCGAGGTGGGCGTCGTAAATATTATCTTATTGTTTCCTTCGACAATAAGTATCGTTTGTACTTTCGTACAAATTTTTCTTTAGCTAATCACTAAACGCAATTGTGCAAATTTAAATGAAATACTGGTACATATTTACACACACTTACATGTACGCATACACATACACACACAATATACAATGTAGGTCTCGTCGGCATCGCGTGAAAGAAAAAAATCGAATAAGAACCAAAGGACGGATTTTCTCATGTTCCATTCATCAATCATACATTTCCGAATTCTGCACGCTCCTTCGCCGTTTCTTTCCGGATGCATTCGTGTTTTCACTTACAAGAAAAGGGCCGTGCTAAGACCGATGGGATTATCGAGGTTCTTGTCAGGGATACGATACGATTATTAAGAATATGAGTAAAGAATTGATCGCATTCTGAAGCGCATGTTTCGGGCGAATTTTGAAGGAGAACTCCGATGCAAACTCGTCGGTCCCAACGGTTGAATCTCTTTACTGCGTGTTGTACATACTCTAAATATATATAAATATAAATAAATAAATAAAGATATATATAAATATAAATAAAATAATAAATATTATAAATATAACGGTATGAGATCGCGAATAAAAAACGATATTATATATATATTCTACGTCGGAGGCATTTGGCTTGCAACTCGTGAATGTCGATCGAGTGAGTGACACACTTATCTGCGCTTGCACTCCAATTGCCGAGTCGACCTGTCGTTATCCGTGACTTTTTCAGGGTGAAAGATATTATCGAAGAACAGAGATTGTGAGATTTACTTAACGGAAGTTGATAGAACTTTTTTGAAAAGGGACGAGAGAGGATGACGTGCGCATGATGAAGGCGTAATGAACGGGAAAGCGGGATTAACGCGGAATAAATTTGTCAGTATTTTGTAGCTGGAACGACCGACGTCAATTCTATGCCGCTTTCTATATTCAAAAGTACAAGCTTTTCCTTATACCCCGCATAGTAAAACGAAGGAAATATTACGCGCGTTTAGTTATAGGCATTTATCCCTCCGTCTCTCCAATTGCGATCCATTCTGATTTATTGATTCCTGCCTTACTCAACCCTAAGCTCGTCCTTTTTATTCCTCCACGGTTCTATTTCTTGGTACTAAATATGGCAAAAGTTTCTTCCGCTATTTCCATCCATTCCTTTACTTTCCAGCGGTGTTGAAAGTTGAAGAAGACACCCATATACAGCATAGAAACTTGCAGTAATATTGCAATGTTACTACAATATTTCTAGAATGTTGCAATGTTACTACAATATTGCTGGATTTGTGCTATATGGGAAAGTTATTGTATAAAGAAGGAAAATAACGTCGGTTGTTGCACTTGCGAGTTACTGACAGAACGGTTCCGTTCGCGACGCTGAGCACGTTTGCGCCGTCACACAGAGGATGTCTCGCGTCAGTTTTCATCCCGAATATATCGATTTGTTAGTATATATAATATATAATATATAGTATAAATATATATGTGTATAATTTATGCATTATATATGTATAATCACGGTAATATATATTATGTATACTAATGTCAGTATGTTAGTGTATGTAATAGAGCCTAAAAAACGGGAAAAGGGGAAAAATCGTGCGTTTACCTAAAAGACATGAAAGGAGAAAGATAAAAAGATGTCGTTCTGTATATCTGCATCGCGACGATCTTGTTATAGCGAGTGCAAACAAGAGCAGCACACTAGGGCGGCCCGAATTTTTTATATACATATTAAGATTAATATATGTGGTCACATCCGCAAGAAAGAGATTTTTAAACATTTTACAATATTCCGTAATAAAAAGAGGAGACCTTCGTCGATCGTTTCAAAAAAGGAACGACACGAGGAGAGAACTGATTGAAAACGAATAATAATTCAATTTTCCGTCTTAGGCTAGGTGTATACACGAAATCCTCACTGTTGGAAAAACGCGCAAACAAATAGCTTTCGAGATTCTTTTACGGATTTATTGGAAAATTTTATTAATTAAAAGTCGTTTTTAACACATAAACTTTCAAGCAGTAACAGTGAATAATTGAAGTTAGATAAAAAATTATTAACGTGAAAAAATCATTGAGAGAATATCTCTTTGATTGGGCAAACACAAAGACTTCCATAAAAATCTTAAAATTGGTTCTAAAGCTTCGAATTTGTTGAAGTCGGGCATTAAAAGCCTTCTATTGATTTTATTTTTACCGTAAAACTTAATCTATTAACACAGAAATAATTAATTTTTTTGACCAATTTCAATTTTATGAGTTCTTCTGATTTCATCTCTATCGATTTGAATCAAACTGAAGCTGTTACAATATTTAAGATCACCAAAAAAAAGTGTTCTAATAACACTCACGAAATTAAATAAGCTCGAACAGATTCCGGAAATACAGCAAGAACAATATCGAAGATCACTGCCAAAAATTGATAAATAGAATTTTTTGTCAAGTTTACAAAATGCCATAAGAGAAAATATTGTGTGCAACTTTTACCTTAATCTATAAGTTGCGAACTACCTAACATATTTGATAAGAACGTAACTTAATTGAATCGCAAGATACCCATCCGCTTTTATAATTATTGGTGTTTACAAAGTGCATGACACGTGACAAGTATCGTCGTAGATTGCGATCTATTCTGATTTATTGATTCCTGTTTATTGTATTTATCTTGATTGATAAAATTGCTAAACATGATTTCGTCGGTGTGTAATATGAAAAAAAGAAAGAAGATGATGAAATTATTTATACGCAAACTCACTTGCGTACAAATCTATAAGTTTTAATACGTTTTATTGATATTAATACATTTATTGCGTAATTCTTATATAATTAATTAGTTGTAATGTAACAATACTTTTAATGTGTACAACTTAAATTTCGATGATCATGCTTGAAGACATATACATATATACGAACGTGTATATATATTTACAGATGTTATGCGTATATACACATTTTTATTCAATACGTGTTTTTCTTTACCCTATGACAACTAGAGATTGAATGAACATTTGTAAAATTCATAATATTATCGGAAAGATGACATACGTTATTAAGGAGCATGATCGTTGGCCATACAATGGGGTATATATACTATATATATTATATTATATAGATATATTTATGTTAAAATGTAAGTCTAGAGTAAGATGATGAATGCGATGGCGGCGCCGATTCGCGCCGGATCGCGAAATATATATTATAAATACCTGCAATTGATGTTCTCTTCTCTTTGAAGCATTTTTAGGAGTTAATTAAATGCCGCGCGAAAATTGCGGTCACCACGAGAAATTGTGTTTGCGCGACATTGTTATCACGTCATTTCCGATTAAGGGCCCAATTGAAACGGCGCCGGTTGGCGATTGGTTTCAGGAATAGTCCAGAGATCGCTGACTCTCTAATTAAGCAAGCAAAACGATTTAAATGACGTTACACAGTCGCGAATTAAGATGAGCTAGCCACACTGCGACCGCGCGAGAAACGATAACATTTTGTATCTCTACTTGTAGATACAATGCGATAGGCGAGAAAAATTATATCTAAGGATTCAAATGAAATTAATATATAGAGAGCTGTATGTATAATTAATTATAAGTTCATTCGTCGCTATGATATTATACTTAGATATCGTATGATTTTGGAAATAAACATTTGTTTTAAATATACAAATGTTGAGAGATGTATCGTCCTACCATTACGTTAAATTTATTTAATGATTTTACATTATAATTTTAGAACTTTAGATAAAGAAATTAAAGATGAAAACGATTTAATGGTAATTTACTCGATAAATTATTTAATAATTCTATGGAAAGCTGGTAAAGTGATAATTTAGAAAAAAACTACAAAAATGAAAAAGTTTTGACATGAAGCCTAAAAAGTAAAACACTTTATTTAACTTATATTTTTGTTTATTTTTAACGAAGTTACAGCTACTTGAATTTTGAAGTTTGTAGCGTTACTATCTTTTAAGATAGCGTTGCAACCCTATTAAATACTCAATTACCTTATTTTTTAAGTGGATTATGTATGAAGAGTATTAAGGACAACTAATTGGCAAGATTTCGGTGATAATATAATACTTATTTTCAGATGCTGTTTTATCAACTCAGAATAGATTTGAGAATATAAGAAGAATGTTGTTTTATCTAAACATTGCGAAAAACATGCATATTTGTATATAAAACTGTAACTAATGAATTTTATTAAAATAAACAAATTATTTATCGTAATCTTATTGTAATTTTATCATAAATATTTATTACATTGAATTTGATGCTTAATTTTATATCTCGAAACAAAATACAGATTTTTTTACAACTAAAATCGCATGATGATTAATTTTTAAGTGACATTAATGATGTTTTTTTTTTAAGATTCTATGTTTTTTTTACTGACGAATTCAGAAACATACATTTATAATATTATCACTTGAGGAATGTTTACATTTCATATTATATGTAGTCATAATATGCAATTGCTACAACTGAAAAAAGGAAGAGATATGAATGTTGATTGATTAAATCATATATAAAAAATTGATGATTTTTATCACATTATTATCAATGCTGCCTTCTTATAAAATTAATATAAAAATTAAAGATGAATTTTTGTAATATGACGACATTACGAAAAAATTTCGTATTTAATTATCAAATTAAAACAAAACTTATCATTATTTTCAGGTCGTTCGACTACCAGAAATCTTGGGGAGTCGTGAGTACCGAATATTTAATCCACATTATCGCACTCCCGCTTACAATATCTATCACACCTGCATCGATACCATAACTAATACTTCATTCTTCGTAGTGCTTTAATTTAATTTAGCTGTGTGACGCGATTCAGGGACGAACAGTAAGATCTCTTCGTCGCTTTTCCGTCACTCGACGATTGTCGTTCAGTAGACTTTTGCCAAGCATGCACATTTTCAGAGACTTCGCGGAGCCAGCGACGGGCGTTAGTCTTCTTCAGCTCGGCAAATCGAAAACTACGGCCGATGTCGTTAGAAAAAGGCAAGCAGCAGCTTTTTTATTTTACTCGTTCGCAATGTCAGATGTGTCCGTCGACGCGTTCGCTTTTCTTACTCGTCGGACAAAATTGAATTAAATTGCCCGGAAAGACGGCGGCCAACAAAGTATTGTTCGCCGCCCGTTTTCTGCGCAATTTGATCAAACTAGGAACTGTTCCTCGTCTCACCGTTACCAGCAAAAATAAATCTTACGTGACAATAGATTAAAAGTTCTTATTAGCTCACGAACTAAGAAAAAGTACAAAAGGATTAGTGTGTCCGATGAATACAAAAAAAACTCATAATTAAGTTACAAATTTTATTGATTTAAAATTTTCTCAGAAAAAAAGTGTTTATTTATATATTTGTCTAAAACTATGAGTTTTTAAAAAAAATTTATTTATGAATACTTCAAAATTATTTTACAAATACTTATATTACATTCAAGCAAAATGTAAACTAAAAAAAAAATACTCTAATAAAAACAACCCTTTTTTCTTAACTATAACTACACTAAGAAAAAAGTTGTTGATTTGACTAAATATATTTAATTCTTAGTGATTATTTAGTTCAAATATTTATATATTTAGGTTAACAAAATCTTGTAATTTAAAATATGTTATTTATTTGAATTAATAAACATTTGCTTAATAGCCTGTGATCGTTGCATTTAGTTGAATTAACTATAATATTTTTTTAAACAACAATTTTTTCTCTGTGTAGTGATCTGTAGTAAATTAAAATATTCAGATTTGCTTTTCTAGTAGATCATTTATTTTTTTGGTTTCATGTTAAATTCTGTTTTACTAGTTTAATTTTTTTACTTAAAACTTTGAATCTGGGTATAGGATAAGATGCTTACTTTACTTTTAGCAAGGTCGTTGGGGACTATCTGTCAGCTTCTGGTAACGTATTTACAAAGTGTGTATTTTTGTATAATCTTGATTTATAAGCAAGCGTAATCGCTTAATTGCTGATACAGTGGGTAAAATATTTTGTCTTTAAGTTAAAGTTTGGAAAGCATGACTATACTGAGGAGAAAGCTATTGCCCATTGTTTCACCAAGGAACGTATTAAATAATATAATTACAGAATGGAAAATTAATACAAAATCGAAAATATACGCAAATCATATTGACAAATATATTCAAATCAAATGAAAGTATTTATTTATTTTCTATATAAATACAAAAATTGCATTATTGCTTGTATTTATATTCATTGTATTTATTCATTTATTCGAATATTGGATATATTTATCGGACACACTAGAAAAGATTAATCAATTTTATTACAATTATCAATATATGCGAAAATAAGTCCATCATTTTTCGATTTGGTAATTAAAAAATTGCTATTTACATCAGAAAAAACAAAAATGGAAATGTGCTTTTGAACATTAAATTACGGTTTTTTTACAAAAAATAATTTTTGGTGCTTAGCAATTCTAAATCTAGAAATTCAGATCTCTTTCTTCAAAACTTAACAATGTATATACAGGATATCTCGTAAGATGGGTCGGGGCTACATTGGGGTCGGAGAATGGATCAAAGGGAACAAAAAATTCTTATACCATTTTGAGATATTTGCTATAGTTTTCGAATTAGAAAAGGAAACGTCTAAACCAATATACGGTTAAGCCGCGCCGCGCGAATTCATTGGACGGCCCACACTCGAGCAGCAGCGCCAGCGGTGCGCAAGGAGGGGAAAGAAGCGAATCACATAGGACCACCATGCCAGGCTGTCCAGGCAACGAGCGCTTCTTTCCCCTTCCTGCGCACCGCCGCCGCTGCAGCTCGAGTATGGGCCGTCCTACGAATCGGCGCAGCTTAACCGTATATTGGCTTAGACGGTTCCTTTTCTAATTCGAAAACTATAGCAAGTAACTCAAAATGGTACAAGAATTTTTTGTTCCCTTTGATCTATTCTTCATCCCCAATATGGTCCCGACTCATCTTACGAGACACCCTGTATAAATGTTAAAGTCATGGTATCAATTAATCATTTGGCAAGACAAATCTCAAGAAAAGGAGGAAATAAATTTAATATTACTATATGTTCTAAGAATTAACAGACTTTTTCCCGGTTATAGATATAAAATAAATATAAAAAATAAATCAGATTAATGTGTTTTCATCGCCACCTCAACAATGCAGATAACAATATTGCATTTTACATTAATCTGAATTGAATTTGTACCTGTATATATATGTACTATTTATTTATGTGACAAAATTTATTTGTCAAATTCATAATGTCAAAAATTATTCTTAATTTGAATTATTTTTAATCGAGCAGTAATTAAATCGCGTAACGGATTATTCCAAATCAGCACGTGATTTTTTACAAATACGTACTTTAAAAAATCAAATGATGTTTTTTTTCTTCTATTTCTATCATTCAGTTCTTTAATATTTGATAACTATAAAATTACAGGATGAAAATTATTTTTTATGTGATTTTTCAAATCACGAGATTTTAAAAAAACATACTGATTTAAAACAATCTATTATGTGATTTACTTGTCTTAATTACATAATTTTGTTATTGTAACTTTGAGACGTTATTCTTTTTAATAGGGAAGTAGTTAATTGGTCCAATGATATCAGCATTTTCATATTCATTGTTTATTTTTGAAAAAGGAATATCTGAAGTTAAGTTAAGCTTAAGTTAATTTAATATGAGTACCAAGGATCTTTTGCAATAAAAAGCGTTTTCACTTCTAGTATTCCCTTTGTAAGTATAAATTTTCCTGGTTCCTTGCAAATTAAAGTAATTAAGAATATAAATAAAGTGTTGATCGAAAATCTCTTGTGCAGATACCTTATGACGCCGGCTGATACGCTGAACGCCGCTGAAGCTATATAGACAATTGTACTAAATATAAGTAATCTGAATATGAGTGACCTAATTGTCATATCAATGAGATAAACAAAAACAAAGAATGAGGTCGGGGTTAGTATATCGGAGCTAATTTTTGCGTGCCTTATTTACGCAATAGTGTTACATATACAGATTACTGCGAAATGTAATTAGGCTTCAATATAAAACTTTAAATCAAAATGATTCTCTCCACCAGTGATATGATTTTTTTAGTCTGTGTTCTACTTTTTTGCTTCTATAAACAATAAGTCTGATTATGAGTGAAGATTATAAAAAAAGTGGAAACGATAAACGATTTCTGAAGTAGAATAGAAGATTCTTTTATTTGCAAAAGTCTCAATGCTTCCTATTCAATTTTATAACGTTTATTATCAATAAAAATCTGAAGAGCTCGAGAACATTTGTTATTCACAGTTCATGGTTTACGAGTCCCCGAGTAAAAAAATAGTAATAATAGCAATAACTGTGTTCCTACCTTACGTATGAAATTTGATTTCGATAAGATAGGATAGTTATAAAAAGCGTAAATAAAATGGAAGAAAAGAAAGGTATAAATGCAAAAGATGAGGCGTTGGTAAGATGACTGCTACTAGATAACATCTATCTGGAACAAAGATATGGCAATTTGATTGCAAGAAAATAGAATGAAAATAGGACAAGAAAGAAAAAGAAGATAAGCTGCTCGGTGCAGTATGTGGCATGTAATCTTATCGCTGCTTAAAACATGCAAATTTCTCTCTTCCGCATTTCTCTAGAGGATCGCATTTGTAACCGATCGAGCAAAGCAGATATTATTCTATTTATTGTAAGCGTTATTTGTATTTGTATCGTGTGCTTTATTTCATTTCATATGCGTGCTTTGTCTAGCGTTTGCTGTTTTGTTGCAATTTATGTAGCAATCTGTATTAATCGCGGCGCTTATATTGTATTATAACTCTATCGAAAGTAAAACTTCTGAATGCATCTAAATGACTAACGCTACGCTAAGTTAATTAATTTTGTAATGTCCTGTTAAGTTTTATTGGATAATCAATTCCATCATGTGTGACACGAGAGAAATGATGTATATCACTTTATTCACTGTTACGTGATAGGTTCTGTAAACTTCACTTATTTGTAATTTAATATTAATAATTATTAATATTTAATTTTTACAATTATTGCTACATATGATCCGCGTGAATCATTAATCTAAAATATCTAAACACGGCGAATTTTTATAAATAAAAAATAGAATTTTTTTAAGTACCACATTTTTCAAGCATTTTACAAAAGATTCTCGACGTGCATCTCTTTAATTTTAATCGTTCTATTTACAAATTCTTATTGATATGTTACACATAAGACAAAGTAGATAAATAGCAAAAAAATAAAGAAGATTTAATAAATAAACTAATGCCATATTTGACACAAAGACACGGGTTAATTACATATCATGCGCAATTTATGCATGCATATGATAACTCTGAATGGTACATTTAATCTGAATCATCCACTAAACTAAAAATACCAGACTGAACGCATACACACATGCAGTAATTTCGTAATAACTATTCGATTAATGCAAAAAAAACTTATTATATTATTTTTTTTTGTATTGAAAACATTATAAGCACTGCATATATTTAATATTTTATTTTCTTGTAAAATTAATTGTTGCGTGATATCATATCAACGAGATAAGTATCGTATCAGAAAAGATTTATAACGTAATTCTCTCTTCATTATACATATATATATTTATATGTACATAGAAGTGACACAGAGAGCGCTGGCAGATATTCCCGATCGGAAGTGGACGGAGCATCATCCCGAGGACAACGGAAACCGAGGATCAATCTCTCCCGATTCTTTGGAAGGAACAAAGATAAAGTGTCCGGCGCCGATACAGACACCATGAAAACTGTCGTTACCGTCGACGACGAGAAGGTAATTGCTGTTTTTTATGTGGATGACTTACTCATAATTTATTATTCCTTTTATGTCATTATTATTTCGTTTTTATAAATAAATTTGATGTTTTTATGATACTTATGTTAATAGAAAATTAAAAAGTTTAGTAATGATTAATTAATACCGTAAGAACAAGACAAACTTCTGCATTTAAAAAAATTTAATTTTTTTAATTCTAAATTTTTGAATAAAGGAGGATGTTAAGAAGAAGTTGATTTCTGTCCAAAAAGTTGTAAGTAAAAGAAATAGTGTTTTTTAATGTATTTTGACCTTCTGAATATGATAATGTTAATAAAAGTTTGGGATCGATAGAGAACACTTTGAAAATTAATTATAAATATGATATATTTCAAGAAATTTCAATATTCTTGTTTACCTTTCAAGATATACCTCACATATCACCTTTTTAATAATTTTATTATATTCAAGAAGTTAAAATCTACAAAAAACTATTTCTTTTACTTACATCTTTTTGAGCAAAAATCTGCCTTTTTTTAGAGGATATTAAAAAAGGCTGACTTTTGCCCAAAAGAATGTAAGTAAAAAAAATTGTGTTTTTTTTTGTAGATTTTAATCTCCTAAATATATAAAATAATTAATATATAAAATAATTAATAGATAAAATTATTAAAAACACTATCCGTTTACTTTTTGGACAGAAATCGGCCTTTTTTTAACATCCTCCTTTGAATTATTCGAGGAATGCCTAAATCTAATCGAAAAAAATAATACTGAATAATTTAAATTATTTGTTTTTTATAGCTGATTTTAAAGAGTATTTATGATAAAAATTTGTTAGCTAATTATCTGATATTGGCTTTTTAAATTGATTTTTTTATTGTATTTTGTGCTATTCTTGCGCTATTTATGTGTTATGAGCTTATATTCATGTGAATCTCATTATATTTTGTGTTATTCTTTGTGGTATGTACTGATATTCATCTCAACCTCGTTATTCAAGCCTAGTATTGTTGTAGCCTATTACACTTCTGGTAGATGCTGCAGCAGTTTTACTGGTGCCTCACTATTTTATTTATAAGCATTTTAATTCTATTATTATATTATCTATTGGGTCGTCCGGAAAGTCCGTGCGGAAAATACGCACGGACTTTCCGGACGACCCAATATTTTCCTCTCAATTATAATTTGTGATTATTTATTTGATACGCGCAAATAAAATAAATTAAAAAAATAAAAATAAATTTTTTAGCTAATGTTTTTAGCTGATATTGTATAATGGTAAACAGAATTCTATAGAAAAATTAAATAGATTCTGTAATAAATAACTTTTTTTTCTTTACACTCAAGCAAAAAAATTAAAATGACTAAACATTATATTTACATAAAAATATAATTTTGAACGTTTAGCTGTACATTGATGGACAGAATGGTTGCAACACTTTTTCGATGGATTTCGAACTTAATACCCTTGCTTGTAAAATGGTTGAACGTAAATATGATTAGATTCATGATGGAAGTATATGTTAAAAGGTGTGCTCTTACGTATATTGAATATAAGAAGAGCGATATCCAGAAGCTGCCATGTTGCCGCGGTTATTTGAAATTAGCGCTATGTCATTATATCATTATGACATTATGATGAGTTTTTTCCTTTGGAAATCGACAAAATGTAAATTTCTGCGTCCTTTTTTTCGGAAACTTTTTGTACACGTTTTTACTTGACACGTACTCATATCTGCAATATGTCACTTTAAAGCGATTGTTTAAAATATGTCACTTTAAAGCGATTGTTTAAAATGGCCGCATCTGGTTAGGCGTAGAATAGTACGAAATTCGTTTCGAAAACTCGCGCGCGCGAGCACACCTTTTATCATGGTTAGATCCGAAGATAAGAACCAATCGTTTGGTGAGCTGCATTCCGAAATTCATCGAAAGAAAAAGTGTTGGAATCATGCTGTTCCATCACTATACAGCTAAAACATCCTAAATTTTATCTTTATGTAAATATAACATCTCATATTTAATCTCATATGTAAATATAATCCTCATATTAATTTTTCGTTGAATATATAAAAATTACTTTTTACTGGATCTATTTCATTTTTTTTATGAAATGAGAGATATCTATTTAAATGTAAATGTACTATATAACATTAAGATTCTTGCTTTTTTTGTGATTGTCTATCACATTTTTTATCACATTTTATATATGAAAAACCATGATATAGCTTCATACCGTTGAGCCGGCCGTGCAGGAAGGCAGAACGAATCTTCCGACAGGTGAAGGTGGAATAGTATACGCAGAATTAGATCTTACGCAACAACAACAAGGTGTCACACCTCGCCGAATTAATGAGGACAAAACGGAATATGCTGAAATCTTGTACACGAAACCAGAAACCGAAGAAACAGCGGATAAATAATTGCATTTCCACAAAAACAATTAAGACGATTGTGTGTTTCTCCTTTTACGTTTCAAGACGACTTCAAATGTTTAAAAAAAATTGATGTGTTTTGATAGATAAAACGAAAGTAAAATAGATAGATATTTTGAAATGCGAGAAATATTTCAAGGCTTTTATTGTTCGTTATTGATTTTTTTTTTATAATTATTACGATCGTTATTTACGCATTCACATATATGAAAATGAACACGGTCGGCGTTTCTCGTTAATCAAATCCTCATTACATGTCTCCGTACGTGTCTCCGTACGTGTGATAATTTATTGTACGGTAAATAACTTTATGATACCTCAGTGCTTCGATTTATTATTCAACATTGCGTCTACACAACTGGTCATTATCGAATTCGGGAGCAAGATCTTTACTAACTGGAACGACCGGAAATTATAATAATGTTGCTCCGTGCAATTATTATATACAAATTTATAACATGTCACAAAAAGTTATATGCAAATATGCAAACGACATTATTTATTACTATTCTTTCGTAATTTGCATTTGTATTTCCATTAATGAAAATTTCATGGAAGATATGATCTTAGTCTAATCATTTTACCCCTGAATTCTTAGTTAAACAATTTTACTTGAAATTTTCCTGTTGTTGGAATTTAGTTATATGAAGAATTTACTATATCAATTTGTTTAATAATTTTAATAATTTACTCTGATAATTTGTTTTTGAAAAAAAAAATTCTCTATAAGAATATATCTCTTTCTAAAATTTTTTGTTTAAGCGTATATGACTATCTCAACGATACGCTAATCGTCGTGCTAAACGTACTTAAATATTATCGTTAATGTTGTTATTGTCCACTTAAATGATGTATAAGCGTAATAATAACATTGTATCGCGTACAAGCTAAATACCTTTAAAAATCATTTGAACGATTTAATTACTTAAAATATAGAAAATTAAAAGAAATTCCTAACAAAGGAATACAAATGTTCCCCTTCAATTTTAATAAGCTTTAAATATATTAAAATATAGACGAAAGTAAGATACACGTATTTGTTTATAAGGGCTTTTTGCGCATTAAGGAATGAAATCCTTCCTTTAAGAAATTTTTCTTTCTGGGTGAATATCGTCTAAACCGGCAAAGATACCATATAAAAAATGTTTTGAGTGAAAGAGAGAGTTGAATGGTTTCAAGAATACTTTATAATAATAATAAAAAGATTTTAATTAATAATAATAAACAAGAGTTTAATTGTAAAAAAATAAAAAACTTTTTAAATTATTTAATTATAAAGTATCTTCCCTTAAAATTATTCAATTTTTAACCAAAACAGTTTAAAATTATAATATTTTTTTAAATATAAATTTTAATATTTTTGACAGTTTCTCAAATAATATTCGCTCAGAAAGAAAAAAAAACCGATATTTTTAAGAGAGAATTTTACCATCTCAATGCGAAACAATATTTATAAAAAAATATACATCTCTTATTTTTGTCTATATTTTAATATATTTAAAACTTATCAAAATCGAAGGAAAACAGTTGGTTGTATTTCACTGTAAAAATATTAACTACATTTAAAAAAAAGAAATTAATATAAGAAGACATTCATCATCGAATGAATAAAGCTGCAGGAACTTTTAAGCGAAGTTCTCTTTTTTATATATTGTAAAGTTTAATGTGCTTAAAAATTATATACTTAAACCGTATCATTTTCTTTATTGAATAAGATTTTTGCTTATTATATAATTATATAATGTGAGGTTTGCGTATTACAATACGTCTTGCGTTATTTTTAAGTATGTAATTTGTAAGTATATAATATTATAATATTTTTACAAGAATTCTAGGCTTAATATATATTATTATATTAAACTAATCATTTAATTAAATTAATCACAATATAAATTTAGGCATAAGTTAATTATAAATTTTGTTTGATTAGTTCGATTATATTCTACGTACAAAAAAACCTATGATTATCAATTTAAACATTTTTTGCCGTCCGAAACTAACAATTTTAGTTAATTTTTTTACACATTTATTTTAATAAATAGATGTAAACAAAAAATATATGTGAATAAATTATATGAAATTTATATTAAGGCTGCATTTTTCTTTATACCTTCTCTTATTTATTATTATACCATACATCTTTTATAAATCTAAACTTTTTTTAAATAAAGTTTGACTTTTTTTATACTGACGGTTCGTCTCTTCTCTCAGTCCGTGGTGATCCATATCAGCGAGCGTGTGCACAATAGTCGATACCTAATGTCCGCTTTCCACGTCTGCATTCCGTTTGTCTTTTTGTATTACAATGACTATTCGTTATACTTCTATGGACACACTTGTTTGAATAATCTACACATGTGTTTTTTTTTTGGTGAGTTTTTATTTCTTATCTAATTCCGGTTATTAATATATTTTCGTTTACTTTTTCATAAAAAGTCTTTTTCTTTTTTTTACCAACTAGAACTTTTTAAAAAATATGACACATTTTTGACTGATCAATCGTACGTGAATAATGTCGAGTTCTACATTGAGACTCACCTGAATTGCGAATACTATTAATTTGCGAACATTTGCGATAATTATTTTGTACTACCGTTTTTTTTCAATATGTTTTTAACGTCTGAAGAGGGCTTAATCCGGTAGCCGAAACTTGTAATTATTTTGTATTTTATTTTTATTTTTATTTTTATT